GGCATCCCTGGAAGAGAGCTTCCGCAAATTTGCCATCTATGGTGACACCAAGGCTACGGGACAAGAAATGAACGGGAAGAACTGGTCCAAGTTGTGCAAAGACTGCAAAATCACCGACGGCAAACACGTCACTAACACCGACGTGGACATTGTCTTCTCCAAGGTGAAGTAAGTGACTCAGCTTTTTGGGGTCTCCAGCTGCTCAGAGGGTGGGGGTGTCCTTGTGGTGTGGGCAATGGTCCCCAGGGAGGTGTGGTGGTCCCCAGGGAGGGGTGGTGCCCAGCTGTGTGCCCGAGCCATCCAGGGAGCAGCTGGTGCTGCCCTGTGGTGTCCGGCCTTCAGGGGGTTGGTGTGGCAGCTTTTACAAGACCTGATAGTTAATTAATCCAAATTTTAGTGGGGTGGGAGGCTTAGATTTTGGTGCAGAGGCTGTGTCCCTGCTCCTGCACCCAGGCATCGGGGTGGGACCAATTCCACCAGGTTCCCATCCAAGAAGAAGGTGCTGCAAGGAGCAGAGGAGAGTGCTCAGGGGCGTCCTGTGTGACGTGGCACAGCCCACCCCTGGGCCTGGCCAGCCCACACCTGAGCTTGGGGAGGACTCTTTGCTGCTCCTCAGAGGTCACAGGGGCAGCTGAAGAGCTAAAGGCACCTGGGGCTGCTTTTGGGGTCCCCAAGGACATGGTGACGCCCAATGCTCTGCACCAGGGTGCAGGAGCAAGGATGGGTGGAGAACCTTCTCCCTTTGTCTGGGCATCCCCTTGTTCTCTGGTGGGGCCAGGAGGGTCTGAGCACCAGGGGGGCTTGGTGTGTAAGAGGGTGGGTCACTGTGCTGCCCCAGAGATGAGGAATACGTGGCTCGTAGGAGCTGCTCTGTGCGGGTCCTTCTGAGTTGGAGCAGAGAAGGGTGGCTGCCTGCTGGGGGACAGAGGGTGCTGGGCCTCCTGGGCAGGCTGGGAGCAGTGGGAATGGATGTGTGTCCCCTCCTGCCACCGGCACCCAAGTCCCAAGGCACTTCCACGCAGGGGTGAGATTTTTGGCACCAGGGACTATAGCTGCACGTGGCTGCAAAGCTCCTGGAGCTCAGCACCGACGTGCTCAGCCCCATTCAGCCGGGATTGCTGTGGCCGTAGCTGTGTTTTGGAGATGGGGGAGGGGCCCAAGGCTGGTGGAGGACAAAGCTGGGGTCTCCCCGCTGCGGCTCATCCCGCTGCAGCCCAGTTCAAAGGCACAACCTTCAAACTGCCTGAGTTTTGTGCTTGCAGAGCAAAGACAGCCCGTGTCATCAACTACGAGGAGTTCAAGAAGGCGCTGGAGGAGCTGGCCCCCAAGAGATTTAAGGACAAGAGCAAAGAGGAGGCGTACGAAGCCATCTGCCAGCTGGTGGCAGGGAAGGAGCCTGCTAACGTGGGCGTCACAGTGAGTGATGAGGAGGGATGGTTGGGAGGAGAGGATGGAGCTCTACCTGCAGCACTAATGCTTCCCAGGGGACCCCATGGCCATGGGTGGGCTGGGGATTGCACAGGT